GAGATGGACAAGTCTTTATACACAAGATGACTTTTGGTGGTCATAGATGGACTTTTTTTTTCCTTCACTTTTATAGTTATGACCTTGTTTTTCTAACACTCATTAAAGTATACAACAACCACATTTAACCTGAGATTTCATGGATAGTATTACTTAGATGAGGCTATGGAAGAAATTGACTCATTTTAAAGAAAAACATTAAAGGATACACAAGCAGAAGAGGGAAGGTAGAAGGTGAATGGCTGAAGTTTAGGACAGGAAGAAAGCCTGTCCTAGTCTAATCTCCCACACTTAGCAGATGAGAAATAGAGGCCGGAACTGGTGATTGACTTCCGTAGGTCCCAGAGATACTTAATGGCAGAAGCCAGAGTCGAGCTCTCATTAGTGATGTGGTTCCCCTAGCTCGAGTCCCTGGAAGACCCATCTGAAGGACAGGACAGCAGCTATCCTCCTAAACTGACTTGGAGGGCTTGGGGATGCTGGGGTGGATAGGGAACCCTACAGTATGGACTCCAGCTTCACACTGAGGATTTATACAGAGCTTTTCCTGGGATCCCATGGCCCTAGAGCCTGAGGAAGAATGTTGCAGCCCCTCCAAAGATGAGCAGAGAGTATTCTGGCTGAGTGTCAACACATGGCTTTGATCTTAGACTCTGAAGGTGGATCACCCGAAGATAGCAGCCTGGCGCTGGGGCCGGAAGATAGGAAATCTCTACCACAGCCTGTGCCCAGGCACCCTCTGCCTCATCCTGTTACCAGGAACCAAGAGGTAAGGACTGAAGGGTTTCCCTTCATGGTTCTGACATGGTCTTCAGCTGTTCTCAGAGAAAGGCCTTTTGTTGACGTCCAGGCACATAAATGAGGACTTAACGTGAATCATCTGTTAATTCTCACATTTCTAAGAGATCGGTATTGTATTCCCATTTTATATGAATATGCTCTTCTGTAGGTACACTTACTGGTCCCTCAAGGGGATAGCTCATCCAGTTTAAAGCCAGAGGTTCTTAGGTCCTGCAGCCTCTCTAGGAAAAGAGGCAACTGCCTAACCCCACTTGAGTAAAAATGGTCAAGTTCTAGGGCAAGGCCCAGGCTTAGATGTGACCAGGGCCTACCTTTTCTGCATAACAGGAATATGCTCCTGCCTTCCCTGCCCTCTCCCTCTTTGCCACCTCTGTTAACTTGTAAGAGATAGGGCCTGTTTTGCTGATTCTAAGCCTGAGGGATACTGGAGCAGGACCTTGGGTCCAGTCCCAGCTCTATCACTTGTCTCCTCTGACAAGTGTCCATGCCACTTTCCCACTGTAGGTCTCAATTTCTCTTTGGTAAACTGAGGAATTTGGAGTACATCAGTGATTTTCAAACTCTATTAACTATAAAACCCTTTCTTTAAAAGAAAAATTGATATTAAATCTTAAAGCATAAAGATGGGCAGTACTGGAATGAGTAAGTGGGTAGATGAATGAATAAGTGTATATACTGGGGAGAGGGAAAGAGGGCAGCGGCTCTTTTGAGCACAGTTTGAAAATCACTGGATTGTATTATTTCTAAAAAGTCCCTTAAAATTCTGATGTTCTAGGATTCTTTCCCAGGCCCAAGGTCCCAGATGACAGTACATGAATGCCTCAGGCCTTGAAGCCTGGATCAGAAATTAATTTCCTGTCTTAAAATCCTTGTAACATGCATCTCAGGGCCACTAGTAAGATGGGCTACCTGCTGGGCAGCTTAAGAGAATTCCTGTCTCTGAGAAAAGGCAAACAATAATTGAAATTTACATTTACATTGAAAAAAAAATCTTAGACTGATAGACTTTGAACAGGCACCTTAACAGCAAGAGGTTAAAAAGTGGCCAAAAAAGCTTTTTGGTTAAGAGCCTGGACTCTGAGGGGTAGACAGATTTGCCCTGACATAGCTTCTCAGAGCCAGTTTATGGAAGTAGGGGTAGAATAGGGGACTGGGTCTTCATGTTCCAGGTGGAATATTTAGACTGAAGTTCCCTATTGTGTAGATAAACTAAGCCAAGAGTGCGCCAAAGCTTTCTCCTTCTAGAAGTGGCCGGGATGTTCTACAGGGGGTGAGGGCTTGAAGGAGTGAGCATTGGGGGCAGGGAGCAAAAAGGCTTAGGTTCTGTCTGAGGCAAAAGTCCTAAGACAAATTTGACAATTTAGGAGAAAACTCTGGAAATAACAAATCCTGCAATAAGGAAACCTGATGTAGCCCTTTCTTTTAAAAGTTACACTCTGATTTCTGTAGCCGTATTGATCAAACCCAACAGCAGGAGCGTGGATTTCCTCCAACTATAAGCTTGCTTTGTGACTGACTTCTCTGACCCTCATCTGTGCAGCTGCCTCCATGATGCCAGCAAATACCCTTGGGAAAGGGTAAGAGTGGCTCAGGAAGGAGAAGCAGCAAAGAGAATGTTTCCTCAGGCTGGGAGCCTGACTCAGCTCTTAATCCTTGTATTTCTGGTAGCTGCTAAAATTAATACTGAAAATATTAATAATTGGTATAATTCATCAAACCCTTAATAAGTGTCAGATACTGTGCTAAATGCTTTTATCTGCATTTTTCGTTGAAGCTGTTGAATCTCCTTTAAGTGGAGAAAAAGGCTCAGATTAAGCAACTTGCCTAAAGTCACACAGCTAGTAAGTGTACAATTAGGATTTCAGCCCTGATGGTCTGTCTGACTCCACAGCCACTCTCCAGGACTCAAAGCTCCAGTCCTCCATACCCAAAAAGCTAGTGCTTATTAGCTTAAATTTAGACCTCAGGTGGAGACAGATTCTGTGTTTGTCTTTGCTCATTTCTGCCTGCTTTGCCTTGGAGAGCTCCTCAGCCCTCTAACCCAATTCCATGAATATTCACTACAAGGTGGCAGGGAGCTAACATATATTGGATAACTCCTAAGTTCTAAGCACTGTGCCAAGTGTTTTACAACATAATTTATAAGTTAATGTTTTGTAAAGTTTTTCAAACAGTGCCTGGCATGTGGTAGGTGCTACGAAAGTGTTTTAAGTAAAATGAACAAAAGAATAAACTCGAACAGTAATTTAAAATGACCATGATGGCAGATTGCCATTATTACCTGGTTCTGTCACTAAACATTTGTGTGACTTGAGCAAGTTATATAATGTCTATGAGCCTGTTTCCTTATTTGAAAAATGGACATAAGAATTGTACTTATATCAGTACCTGCATTAGGTACATGAGCTGTTTTAAGGATTAAATGAGAACCCATATAAAGTGCTTGGGACAATGCTTGGCATGTAGTAAGTGCTCCGTATATGTTAGCTATTATTGTCTGTAGTCCTCGCAAAACTCTGTGAGATAGTAATTTAAATATTTGATAGTTTTATAGTTGAAGAAACCCTTGGTTGAGATGTGCCTCACATCTGTTAAGCGGCAGAGCTATGATTTGATTCTAGGCCGCTAGGACTAGTCAGTATTCTTTCTGCTGAACCATTTTCAGCAGGCAGCTTTCCATAAACTGTCTACCTGCCCGCCCCCTGCCCCATGGCACATACACATACCCCCAGAAACTTACCTCTTCTACTTGTGAATTTATAACCATTCATTCAGCCTTGTGGATAAAAACATTATCTTCTCTCCTCATTTGTTGCAGCACTCATGGATCACACTCTGGCCTAGGACTGATGGGAATAAAAGACGAAGAGGAAAGCACCACCCTAAATATGTGTTCGTGAGTCTGCCGACCACTTTCCACGTGCCGTTTCTTATTCGTTGTGAGCAGTGGCAGAGAATGTGGTCAGGATGCAGCCTTTCCAGAGCCTGCCAGGCCTCTCTGTCTAGCAGACACCTTTTGTGGAAATGGTGTACCAGCTAAGGCGTCTAGTTCATTTATATGGCATGTACAAATTTTCAATAAATGCCTAAAAATTTAAGCATTCCTAATCTTAAGCCAGGGTGAGGGGAGGAAACCAGTTTGTATTTTCTTTGTGTCAGTGGATTTATGCACAGGCACTGTGGCAGATGCTAATTCCATGTAGCACTCCTATTAAATGGTAAGTATAGGTAAGGAAACCAGGAGGAGGAGTGACTTCTCTGGAGAAAACCCAGCCATTACACAGTTTGTCAAAGTTGTAATCTTTGAAGCAAATTTTTGTAAAGCAAACTGTTTTCGCATTGACAGCTGTTATAAAATTGAAGGAAAAAGATATGCTGAAGTGAAAAATCTGGCAGGTTCACCAGACAGAGGAGAGTGGACGACTCTTTTAGCTTTTTACCGACACTGGAAGTCCTCTTCCCATTCCATTTTTAGGAATGCTTCCTTCCCTTGAGTGAGACTGCTGTGTCACCCTTCACCAATAGGTGCCTCCATCACACCAGATCTGCCCCTTAGAACTAGAAGCTTCAGTTTCAGTAAAAGCCAGTGCTCTGCTTTTTAATCAGCTCTCAAACTGTTAACATTCTGTGTTAGAAAGGACATAGGCATATGGGCATAGGCATACACAATTCTAAAACTGATAGCGATATTAGCTGCCCTCCAGAAAAGATGAACAAATCTGGCATACAATTATTATACCAAAAAACCTTGTAAATTGCTCCATACATTGGGACCCAGCAATTCTAGAGTATTATCCTACGGTAACAGGATAGTTTCACAAAAACATGTATGGAGGAGATATCACAGATTATTACTATGGAATTCTGGGTAGCCATTTAAAAAAATTATGTGTGTGTATGCATGCACACATGTGTAAATAAAATCTCTAGTGAAAGAGATCTGCAAGAAGCAGCAGTAGACCTCTGGATCCAGACTGCCTGACTTTGAATTCCAGCTTTCCCACTTATTAGTTGTGTGAACTTAAGTACTTAACATCTCCGTGCTTGGGATAATAGTGGTACATATCTCATAGGATTGTTGTAAGATGAGATTACACATTCACAGTATATTATGTGTTGTATGAAGCCTGGAGGGGTACAGAATAGTATGTTTAGTTTGAGTCCATTTTTGTAGAAAAAGGTATGCATAAGCTTGGAACAAAACCTGGAAAGCTGTATGCCAAAATGTTAACAGTATTTATCTCTGGCTAAGTGGGATTCGCAGATAAGGTTTTACCAAATGCTTTTCTGTGTCTAGGCTGTTTTTTGTTTTAAAATCAGCATATATTGCTTTTATAATTAGAAAAAAATAATTCTACTTAAAATTAACTCTCTGGCAGAGAATTAAACACTGGCATTTGAGGCAGTGTTTAAACCTTTAAAAGTAACTTCTATAAGATGTGGCTCTGTGTGAAAGTTGGGAACCAGGAGCCAGAACTGAGGAGATTGATTTGGGATTGTGACACTGCAACTTGAAGCTCCCTTGTAAAGAGGAAAGTTCCCCAGGTAACCTGCCAACCTCAGCTGCAAGGCCCTGAGAACATCTTGAAACTGACAGTGTTGCTGGATTTTTTCCAGCCCAGCTGAGCTGAGCTCCAAAGCTGTGGGAGCTTAGCTGCTATTTACCTCTTGAGACTCCAGTCCTGAGAGACAAAATAAGTGTCTGCCTTTGGATACAGACAGGCCTGGGTTGATACTTCAGCTCTGCTCCTGGGCAAGTCACTTAACCTTGTTTGAGTTCATTTCCACAGCTATATAAAATGAGGAATTATCTACTTTTAAGGATTATTGTGAAAATTCAAAGATCCAGTTTGTGGAAAATGACAGAACAGTGGGGCTGTGTATGAATTATTTTCTGTCTCTGAGCCTCAGTTTCTTCACCTTTAAAATGGGGACGTTAGTACCTACTTCATAAGGTTGCTATGAAGATTAAATTAGGGAAGGTACATATTAAGTGTTCAATAAATGACATTTTACTGAGGATCACCTTCCAAGTGCAGGATTACAGAGCAGATTAGGCCTCCCTGTACCAAGAGCACTCCCTTTGCTCCTAGGAATAGCCAAAGCCATTTCCTTCTCCTGGATGGGTGGGGCTGGAGGTTTCCCCATGGGCCCCCAACTCCAGAACTCTGCAGAGATGAGCCCAGACCATAAGGCCTCTCAGGCCTCAGTGTGCACACTCTGTTCTTTCGGCTGATGCTCCCACCTTTTGGAAGCCAAAGCTGCCAACTTGGCCTCTTGCAAAACACACATTCCATTCATAAGTGCGTTTGTGCATTTTTCCTCCCACACCCTTCTAGGCAGCCAGTGCAGAGCTGCCAAGGCAGCTGCTGAAGAAGCAACTTCTCATTTGGGGGAAAAAGCAACTCCAGGGGTTTTTAGAAAACTCTTGGTTTAGGCTTTGAACATATTACTCTGACCTTTCTGGCCTCCTCATCTGTAGTAGGGTTGTTCAGGACACTCTGCCATGTTTGTTTTCATTTCTTTTTGCCTCCCTTTTTATAAATAATCTCTTCCCTATTATAAAGGAAACTCATTAATAGAAATTTGAAAAATCGAGAAAAGTTAAAATCACATCTAATCCCACCACTCACAGTCAATGACTGCCACTATTTTACAATCTTCTATCATATTTTTTCCATTATTCAAAAGCAGAGTTTTTAATGGCTGCATAATATTCTATCATGTTGATGTGTGCCACAATTTTTAAAACAGTGCCCTGTTGTTGACATTGAAGTTGTTGCCAGTTATATCCTTGCACATACATCATTGGCAAATAATATTTCTTGAGGAAAAATTCCTAAAAGTGAAATTACTGGGTTAAATAATATGAACACTTAAAGTTTGTTTAATTCCGGAAAAGTTTTTACCCTGTGTTTGTTTGCTAGCATGGATTTGTTTCAAATCTTTGCCAATTTGACAGGTTAAAAATGTTTTTCATTATAGGTTTAATTTCTGTTTATTTGAATACCCTTTAGATTGGCACCTGTTTTTCCAGAAGCTTGTTGGCCAATTGTTTTTCTTAGTGGGTTGTCGACATCTTTTGCCTGTTTCAGTTGTTAAGTACTTTTCCATACTGAATTTTTAAGGTCTCTGTATGGGTTTAGTGTCCATTTGTCAATTACTGCAAAAATGTTTCTAGTTTGGTTTTTATTTCAAGGTAGTAAATTTTAGAAGTTTGTTCCTGTATTTTATGATTTTTTCTATTTGCTTTTATACTTAGAAAGTCTTGATTGATCCAGAGATCAATATAGTTTAATGATTTAATTTTTACACTTATACCTTTATTCCTCCTGGAATTTATTTCGACATATGGTAACTTTTCCCCAAATAGATTTTACCCAATTATCTATCTTTACTTACCCAATAAAGGAGGATGCCTCCTTTATCATGTAAGTCCATGTATACAAGAACATGTGTCCATGTTTTCTTCTGTCTTATCTTACACTAGTACTATACTATTTTGTAGCTTTATATTTTAATATACTAGCAATTTCAGCAGCACTACCCCAAGTAACCCCAGGGCCCATAAAGAATCCCTTCATCAGTATGGATTACAAAACACTATAGAGTTAGAGGCTTTGCTGCTGACTGCATTGCTGCCAAAGTCCACTAGGACTTTCTCAGCAACCCCTTAAGGCACGAAAATCAAGGTTGGAACATATGTAGGAAGAATGTTAAACGCAGGTAAGAGCCTTATGGCTTTCATGAGACAGAACATCCTCAGAAGTCACAGCAAAAGAGAGAAAATGGAGAGGTTAGGCTGGCTCCCTTGCCTTTCCTTCCCAAGAAGACTAACCCATTGGATCTAGGTCAAATCCCAGAGCTAGAGGATGACTTGCATAGCCAACCTCGCCATGTGCTTGGACAACTGGATTTCAGAGGAGGCAAGAGGCCAATGCTGAGGTGACTCTTCTTTACTCCTCCGGACCCTCAGCACTACCTTCAGTATACCTTTCTTGCTAGAAGAAGTCCATTCCACATGTAGTTAAGCTCATCTGGTAATTGTCTGAAGAAGTTGCTTGCCCCTCATCTAATTGAAAATTGGATTTTAGCCTTATATAATCTGTACAGCACTGTGACAACACTTGGAATAGCTCCAGGCCCTATACAAGCACCCAAACCAGTGTTGTTCAATTTGTTCTTCCTCACATCTCTATTTGTTAGGCCCTGGCTGGGCTCGATAACTCAGAAGGGCCAAAGTGCAGAAGACACAAGTTCAAGAGCCAGTTGGGGAATAAGTACATGTTTTGGAGGTATACTTTTTAAGTGAGAAAAAAAAAGTCACCCCCTGGGCCGGCCCCATGGCTTAGCAGTTAAGTGCGTGTGCTCTGCTACTGGCAGCCCGGGTTCAGATCCCGGGCGCACACGGATGCACCGCTTGTCCAGCCATGCTGAGGCTGCGTCCCACATACAGCAACTAGAAGGATGTGCAACTACCACATACAACTATCATCTACTGGGGCTTTGGGGAGAAAAAGGGGGGGAAAAAAAGGAGGAGGATTGGCAACAGATGTTAGCTCAGGGCTGGTCTTCCTCAGCAAAAAGAGGGGGATTAGCATGGATGTTAGCTCAGGGCTGATCTCCCCCCCGAAAAAAAAAAGTCACCCCCTAAGATTTCCTTCCAGCCTCTAGCTGATGCTGACCTTGGTAATAAGGAAAAGAAAAAATTTCAGTTCACTGAGGAAACCTTGTAACCCTCTCCCTAGCCAGAAAGAGGATGTAGCTATGACTCCCAAGGCCTTTCCAACTGAAAAGAAAAATAAAAACACAGCTAATCCTACCACTGTACTTATTTTTAGGAGATACCAGCATGAGGCTGGGAATCTTTGGGAAAGGCCATTAGGGCCTCCATCAGAGTGAGTGAGATGGCTCGCCAACAGAACAATAACAAGACAGAAAATACAATGAAAGGAAACCAACGGTCAGAAGTGGTCTACCATAATCAGACTTCTAGAATGTAAGAGCCAGGTAGAGCCACCAAGGATATTAGTCTAAGCCTCCCCCCACCCCCCCAATTTGGCACAGAGGGACGTTGAGCCCCTAAGAGGGGCAGTGACTTGTGAAAGGTCATGTGTGACCATGCCAACCCCCCCCCCCCCCCCTTCTGGAGTCCCTCAGTAGCTAACTGTACATCATTCTGGCACATCAAATTTATGTCTGTGAGGCTTTATAGACTTTCTTTTAAATCCTAACACTCTGGAATAACAGTCTCTTGATTTTACAGACAAAAGAAAACTCAGAATTTCACTAACTCGCCAAAGGTCACACAGCAATAGCACTTGACAGTTTCAGCTTATCTCCTTTGCCTTAACCACTGCCTACCTGATAGATGTGGGAGCCATCCGTTTAGCACAGTGCTCAAATTCATTTTTTGTTATTTCTCATGGGAATTCACATCAGTTGCCTAAGGTAAGACTAGGTAGGGACCCTGTGAGGACTCATTTGCTTTTTGCCTACAAGTACTGGGACCCCAAAGCCCATTAAGCTCGGTGAGTGGGAGGTCAACTTCCATGTTTTCCAAGCATAGGAACTGCTTTCCAATATCACATTGGAATAGGCTGCCAGGGTAAATCTTGCCCCAGAATAAAGTCACTATTTTGTTGTTGTTGTTGCAGAATTGTCAATAGTCAAGTAAACAAATTTATTAAATCCAACAGCAGGTAATCTTCCAAATAAAAAAACATCTAAAGAAAGAAAGAATGTAGACAAAGACAAAAATGTGTGTAACAAGTTAATAAAAATATTCAAGGGGCTATTTGGAGAGTGCAGCAGTGCAGAGAATACAAATGAAAGTATTACTTTTGTCAACAAGTTTGTACAACCTCAAGAAACAGACACCGTGGTCACAAACCAAGAGGAATTCACAAAGGTGGAGGGTCACATGAGGAGTAGACACATCACCTCAGTGGGTTAAGGCAGGGTATCTGTAGGACCAATTCATCCAAGCCCCATTTGCCTATTGCTTCAAATTCCCCCTTTGAAACCTAGAATCATACGCATTAGTGCAACAAGTAAGGGCAATTAATCACAGACTCAGGGCTGGGGGCCAGGGTCAGAGGGAAGACACTTCTCCCAGAATAAATGTGTGTGGGCGGGGGGGACCACAGCAGCTGCTGAATGGCTTCCTTTGGCAATGTCCAAGATTTGTGTTGAAAGTAGTAGATGGGTGATAGAAGTAGTAGGTATCTGGAAGAGCAGGCTGAGTTTCCAAGAAGAATAGGGAGGACGTGATGCCCCAGCACCTGAATCAGAAGCAGAACCTGATGGTTACTCAAAGCTATTTGAACCATCTTGGCTTCTGCAACAGTGCTCAAGCATCAATTTTGTCTTTCAATAAGGAAAAACACCAGATCCTCACTAAAATGCAGTCCCAGTCCAGGTTAAACTGGATATATGCTATAATTACAGTTTACAATAGGAATAAACTCTGAAGGGGTGGGGGTGGGGGGGATGAGGACCACCCTCTCCATATGATTCGGAAAACAGATTGTGGAGTAAGAGGAGGATGACTATCTCACACCCTCAAATGAGTCCCAATTAACACACTTTAATAACTTTTAATAGTCCTTTCAGCTGTTTAAACAAGATACTGCTGGAGTCCCCTAAGGAAGACCTTTGTCAGTTACCAAGATGTTCAAGTCATCACTAACCAAACATTAGAGACACAAGAAAAATGGCAGAGCAGGCAACTAAAACAAAACAAAACCTAGCAGCTTCCTTCCAGCCCTTATAAGTGTATAATTGGGTGTACCTTTGGGCTTCACTGCATTGAAGACTTTATTTTAAATGTGGCAAACCAAACAGTTCTAAATACAGATATGTTTTTGTTTTTAAACTTTTAGACCCAAGTCCTTTTCCCAGTAATTTCCCACCAGTGTTTAATACCATTTGGCATAGTATAGTGTATGAGGCCATCACATGAACTATGGAGTCCCACACCCTGCAGGCTCCCACACTGAGGACTGAATTTTGACACCAGCCCCTGGAAGATCAGTACTGTTTCAAAGACCGACTAATACTGTGTGGATTAATCCTTTCTTCCTTTCCAAGAAGGCTAGTTTGTGCCTTCCTTAGGGAAGTTTAATAGGATTTCCTTGGGCTTGGGGGCTTGGTTGAAATTTGGACCTTCATCCAGCTCTAGATGTTTCTTCTCCCATCACAAGGGTAAGTATGGGGTTTTGGACGCAACTCACATATGTGGGCATATCTGGCAAGGATGAGGGAGGACTGCTGAGGCAATCAGCTGAAGCATAGCAAAGTGTCATTACACGAGGTGGGGTTAAGAATGATACATTCATATTGCGCAGGGATGGCGAAAGAGCAATTCAGTGAATCCACACTTCATCTCATACAGCTTTCTAATAAATTGCTAAAGAAACATCACAGAAAGCTCACAAAACCATTTGCCAAAAACCAAGCAGTTTCCCGGCACACATTGTTTGTTGTAGTCACCCTCAGATATTTGCCTATTTTCAAAATGGCATCCACATCCTGCCCCTCTTCACACCACCCGGTGTTACATTGTTAAAGTGAAGGGTGCACCGGCTCACCTGAGGGGCATGCATTTGGCCACTTCCACACAATTACTCCTCACTCATTAAGCAGCAAACCTATTTCTAGGTTAAGAGGAACAGGGACCTTTCATTTCCCAGAAGTATGACTGCAAACCCTACACACACCCCACCTTGGATCCCTTTGCAGAAAAACTGCTTTTCCTATGGTCATGGGCAACTCAAGCATTTGCCCAGAGCTACTGCAGAAGCTTGAATTCCTTGCGTCAAGGACTCAAACCTGAAAGGAACCTGTAAGTCCCTCCCTGACTGTTCTCTTTTCTGGCTTCTCATTTGCATTTTTGTAACAAATAGATTATTAAAAATATAACCAAAAATAATTTTTTAAATGGCTCTTTTGTTGGGGGCAGGGAAGCTGAATAGTTAATTAAAAAACAAAATCCACCCCCTGTAGTACACCTAATGCATGGAATGCCTTGTTGTAGGCTGAGGAAGGAATCCAGTTCCTCCAGAGTCCTCAGGATCCTCCACGCCTCCCTCTCTTCTGCACTTTTCTCCATACACCCTTCTGATCTGGGACGGAAAGAGCCTTACCTGGCTAGGAGCAGCCTGCCTTTTCCCTTATTCAACCTCTACCCAATTCAGAATCAGGAAAACGGGGTTGCAGACTGGTTGGATGAGAAGGTGGTCTCTTTAAGACCTCAGTCTGGGCACCTCAACTACAGTTGAGCCCACAGAACCTGCTAGGGCCCCTAGAAATTCTTTATACAAGCATCTTGTGTCTTAGGCTAGAACAAAGCTAGACATCAGGCCTGAGACCCTCTTCAGCTTTCCAGCAGTACTGCTAACCTACTGTATATGATTTTCAAGTTTCCCTTCCACCCCCTAGTAGGAGCAACTGTCAGGTTTGGATTAAAAAAAAAATCAAACTCCAAGTATGTTCCCTATGTCAATGTCAATTTCAGAAAAATATCGACTGCAGAAACTCCTTAAATAATAATCTTTCTAAAGATGGGAGCCCAGAGCCATAAGGCTACTAATAAAGGAACTCTAAGCAATTCCTGCCCAGGCTGAGAAACATATACCTGGGAGGGAAATGGGGGTAGTTAGGAGAGAAAACTCCAAATGTTTAATAGACAAACTCTACCTCAAGAGTATAAATATTTTTATAAGTTTTTATTTAAAAGATTCCCTTTTCAATCTGTTCCAAAGTGTTGGAAGCTGAACTGTACAAGTTCCTGCCACCCACTCTTCCAGTACACTTTTTTGAGGACATTTTTTTAATGGAAAAATAACAAGAGGACCCTCTACTGAAACCAGGTAGGACCAGAGTCAGCTCTCGTGTGGCAGTTTGGCCAAAGGTGGCCTTACGGAGCGAGCATGTGGAGGAGTCTGGGGAACTGGGCTCCTCCCTCTTGTGAGGAAAGGGCTGAGAAAATTCATCTTCTCTTAGTGAAAATGGTCCAAATTCAGATTCAAAAGCCTCCATTATGATTCCCTGGCACTGTTCTTATACTTTATATATTGAAGGCAGCTCCCTCTTTTATGGCCAGTTTTAGCAGGCAAAGAAACAAAGGCATATAGATACATATATGTGTACATATATATTTTATATAGGTAAAATATATACATATCTTATATATGTATATATACATATTTGGGGGTAGGAGAAGGAGAGGAGGGTCATGTAAACCTAAACAGTCATCACCTTACCCCAAATGAGCCTGACATTAACAAAGAAGATAATAAATAACTCCTGGGGGCTAAGTGACAACATGGGTGCAGCAAGAAGGGAAAGGGCACACGTTTAACTATTAAATACACTTCTATATTTGTTTGGCAGAGTTCAGGCCAGCCCCAGCCTTCTGCACTTGCCAGACAAGTAAGCTGATGATATTCAAACAAATCATAAAAAAAAAAAATTCAAGCAGAGCTCCATACCACAGTTTTCCTTCAAGTCAGTTGGCCGGCAGGCACAGTTTTCCGACCACTAGGAACAGAAACTTTGGCTCCAAGGCAAATGAAAAAAAAAAAAAAAAGTATTTCCACTTACAACATGAAAATACAGAAAATTCATCAAAGAAAGAAAACTATCAAAGTCTACTTCCAGCAAAACTGAGGTAGCACTGCTTTCTCTGCATTCAGTGCTTAAGTGGTTCTCAGTACGTGTTCTAAAAAAAAAACTGCTCACTTGACTGACAGGTGCAGCATGTTGATGGATTAACTCAATGCGAAATGCAACAGGTGAAAGAAGGAATGAGCAAGAAGTGAGGAAAATAAGGGTTTTGGATAAATTAGCTTAAAAGGGGGTTGTCACCAGACTAAATGCTCTTGGCTGGCCTTTGCTCTCCAAGAGCTTTAATTCGCCTGGGAATTAATGCAATGTGGTTAACAGTTAACACTGCTATTCAACTCTGTGTAAATCTTTAAAAATAATTATTACAACCTAAATTCAACCATGTAAACAGCACTACACACAGTACAGACCTGCCCTGAAAAACAGAATATGCAAAACTGAGATCTGGCACTGTATTATTTTGTAATGTTAATTCAACCTAACTGTCCCATTCCCCCTGCCCTGCCCTACACCCTCCCCCACAAAAAAAATCTAATTTGTGCAAGAAATGGCAGGCTATTCTATCTGAAGGCTTAAAAAAAAAGATACACAACATGTAGCCAGGTTCAAATATTTTGGGGGACTCCCCCCAAAAAAGAAATAACCAAAATAACCAAAAAGTGAAGAAAGTGCCTAAAACATGATACAGCATTTTAGAGCCCTTTCAGATACAAGGCAGAGAAAGGTGTAAAGTAGAAAATATCCGGATCTTCAGTAATTTCCAGAAAGGTCCAATTCCTCGGTTGGCTGCAGGGCAGCAGGCAGATTCTTGCTGCTGCTCGTGGGACAGAGCCACTAAGTCTGCTCCTCGGGACACAAGCCCTCGGGCCCTGAGCTGAGTGCACCTCTCCTCTCCTCTTCTCTTTTCCTTCGCTCCATCTCCCACTCCACAAAGGTATCAAATAGACTTGGCCAGGCCTCATCTTCACTGTAGTTGCTGAGGTCAGGGCCAATCACCTGAGTGAAGTTAAGGAACATGTTCCAAGTGTCCCGGGAGATGCCCTTGATCCCCGAGGGGTTCTCTGTTAGGAAGTTTAGCCATTGGTCCAATACCGGAGGATTGTTCTGGGTAAAGACTAGTTTCCATAGGGCAATGGCTATTTCCCGATGCAGTGAGCGCTGCCCTTCTTCAGAGTCCAGGCCAAACTGAAATGTAAACCGGTAGAGATCCTTGAATTTATCCTCTTGTTTGGCTTCTGTTAAGAGGCTAGGGAACCGGGCACAGATCCCATCAATGCTGTCTGCACTTATTGCTTTGCAGCCATCAAAAAACTCCTTCCTGCAACAGGAAGGAGGGGGCACAATTAATAATTGTAAACAATATCATTTACTGAGAGGCAATGTAGTATAGTAATTAAGAGCATGGCTTTGAGGCTGGATGGCCTGGATTTGAATTCCAGCTCCTCTGCTAATTAATCCTATTTCTTCATCTGTCAAAACCCTTTATAGGGTTTTGGTGAGGACTAAACAAGTTAATATGTCAACTGCTTCTAACAGTGCCTGGCACATGGCAGGCAGCTGATAATGGTTCATTCATTCATTTATTCATCTTTCCAAAGCTAAACTCAAGTCTCCAGCTCCATGCGCCCTGTCTCCCATTCTGCAATAGTGATTAAGCTGCAGACTCGCCTCCCAGATGGGAAGTTCTCCTGCTTTCCTTTTGATTCTCTATGGATTATTTGTTTTTGGAATATTTTTGGTGACTGCCAAGGGAGATTTTTGTAGCCAAAGATTCTGGATGAACCTGGGTAACTCTGCCACCAGAGATCAAAGTTCTATTATTAAAAAACAAAAACTGTATTTTTAACATCTATATAAACTTTCAGCTTACAACATTTTCTCACATTGATCTTCTCAGAGACTGCTGTATCCACTGCAGATATAAGGCATCTGAGGTCTGTCAGGTAACCTATCCAGGGGCTAGAAATTATATGGGGGGGTTTCTCAAGTCAATTCTTATATACAACCTAGTGCTCTGCAAACCACACCTTGGGGTAACCCTGCCATGTCCTCCCCACAAACAACCTCGATAGTGACACATGACCATGATGGTATGCACAACTACTGCTTGATAACTGGGGCCAGCTGTCCTTATTGGACAAGAGGCTGGCCGAGGGCAACGTGCGAAGAGGTAGAAGGGGCAACTAGCTTGATGCAGTGACAGAGGCATAACCCCATTGGCACTCACAGAGCCTGGCACATGATAGGTGTACAATAAATATCAAGTGAGGAAGTGAGTGAATTGACAAGTAAAAGAGTAAGAGAAAAGATAAAGGTCTGAAACAGCAGTGGGGCTGGGCAGCACCTTTGCCATGTGGCTCAACATGGATTATTCCTCATTTAACTTAAGGCAAAAATGGTCGGTGTCCAGTTATTCAGAGGCTGAATAGCTTTAGAGAAATTGGTCAGTAAAAGAAAAAAGGACTTACCCAAAACCCTATGAAGCCAACCCAGTTCTATTCTAGCTGGGCACCACGGCCCAATGGTGCTCTCTTTCCTCCTCTGCTCACCTGGTGACATGAAGTATTTGTGACTAACCTGGTGAATTTGCACATGGTAGCAGCCTGGAACTTCCAAGCCAAGAGCAGCACTCGAAATTCTGTGGGGTCAACACATAGGTCATTGCAAAAGCGCTCCATGCCTTCTTCCAAAATTGCATCCTCCCGCTCGTCCTTGTAGCGCCTGAACAGTTCTTCCAACCTCTGCAGGGAAGACTCCTCGGCATTGGACTTGGGTTCCCTCCCAGCATCTCCCGAGGATGTTGGCAGTTGGCAGGCCTCAGTGACAGCCTCTGCCTTCTTGGTCCCATTGACAAGGATATCCCCACTTGGCTTGCCACAGGCTGGTGGCTGTTCCTCACGGTGGGCTGCACCCCGCCTGCTGTGTGACTTGCTGCTGGGGTCACGGTCTCCATTCTTGCTGCCCAGGGTTGATGAGGGATTCTTGCACTTGGTGACACACTGGCCCATGGTGCTGATGGCCTGGCCTCTAGAGTGGCCCCCTCTGGACTGGATGCCCTCGCTGCCACTGGCCCATGTGCCTCAACATGCCATCAGCCAGAGGAGCCAGCCAACCTGGAAGAAAATTAGAGAGTAGTCACCACTGGAAAGGGAGACGGGGTATGTAAACTCCTCTCTAGGGACTCTGCACTGGGACACCACTGTATTTCAGTGAGCCAACCATGAACCAGGGAGATACCCTGAGTTTACACCACCTCCCTTGTAAGCCAGCTCTAATACCTTCACTTTGGAAATGCAGTGGCTAGGGCACATATGGAGAACAAATATGGAAAATTCCTAAAATTCTTAAGGTAACATAGATTACAAAGAGGTTGATTCATGTGCAGAATGCATCAAGGAAGACTACAGTTTTGCCAGAAGTATTCCAAAGGAAATCTGTCTTGCCAACTTGCCATTACATAAGAAAATTATTTGGACCTGGGTTAAGCCAGAAGGTGCAAATAAGAGTCATCTTCTAGTCGCTAATGTCAAAAACCTCAGATTTTCTGTTTAAGTAGGTTGAGTAGGGAGAAGGGGTGGCCACAACCAAGACAACTATACAGTTTCATAATAGCCTAAGATGAGGTAAAGGATTTGCCGAGTCAAGACTACAAGTAGAGTCCTAGCCAAATAGCAAAGTAAAATTTGTCTCTGATCTTTTCAAATTCCTTTCTGGGACTCTCCCACACAGTAGGTGAAATACCCTTGCTCCATCCTTCCTCTGCCCATCCATAGGAGCCATCCACCAAGCCTATACTCCATGCCAAGGTTCCCAGTCCCCAAGCTTCTTGTTCTCCCCCCTCAGGTCCTCTGCAAGGCTGTATGTAGAAATGCAAGCCAAGTTCACACTAAACATGAATGTCCTACAGGGCCTGCAGGCTCGGTCCTCCACGAGGGTGTGTCTACTTTAAAAGAAGGGCTGATTTACCCAAATACAACCTCTAAATGGTAGGATAATTACTGGATGAAAAAGAAAAGTCTGCACTGTTACATAACAAACTTGTCATGGTGGTTTATTTATTACTTATATAATTAAAGTGTTTTTTAAAGAATTGCTAGAAATTTCTGTCAGGGGTGAGGTGATTTCTCTGAAGACTCTGTCTACTCAGGACTCTTATTCTTACCTTCAGCTAGTCCACTAGAAGATCCATCTACAATTTAATACCTGTAAAATTCTGCCATCTGCTATAATAACGACTGAAACTACAATGTTAACAGAAATTTAGACCAGGAGCCAGAAGTATAGTAGGGGAAGCAGACCAAATCAATGTCAGTCCCACGCCCCTCCAGCTCTAGGGAGCTTTCATGGACCTTCATGATCCAAATTCAAAGCTCTTAGGAGACTGGCGGTGGGGAGAAGGGTGCTTTTTATGGAATGTTGGAGCTTTAAACTTTACCTAAAGAACTTTAGCTCCCTCGAAATAGAGCCTGGATAAATGTGGAGTTATCTTCAAAAGGAATTCTAGGCTAAGTTCTGAGTGTACAAGTTTAAACCGAAGACCAGAAGCATCCCTGTAGTTAGTGAGATGCATGGTATCAGGGTGTGTCCCATTTTTCCACACTCAGAGAATAAATGACAGAGACATGTCTACACATGCCCTCAAGGCTTGCAGTTTCACTTAGGCTTCAAAAACACCCTGAAACCCTTACAAGGGTTTTTGGTGTGGAAAATGACAGACCCAAGTAAGTTTCTTCTGTCTTTTTATGCTTTAAGAGTACAGCTAGTAAGCCGTAAGCACAACCTATTAAAATTTTAACAGGCAAAGAGTTAATTCTGGGCAGACCAGCATACAACGGAAGCAACTGTTCGAGCTGAATTCTCTCAAAACAAGCAGGACTGTAATACCATGTGGAGGGTCTGGTCTCCAGATTTGTGTTTCTAAAGACCAGAGTGCTGAAGGAAACAAAAGGCCCAAACTTACACAAACCCCACATGCTCACAGACTGACAACTAATTCCCAGGCATGCTGACTCACCAGGGTTTGCTGCTCAGCTCCTGCTGCTGAGGGAGGCCCAGGTACCTAGCAGGATAAGAGGATTTCCTGGCCTCTATCTGACCCACCTACCCCAGGCCACTAACCCCTGCCCCCACCAGGCAGATGCTTCATTATACCAGCTTCCCCCAAATCCCGGCGCCAAGGCCTTCAGGTAGGGACAGAACAGCTGGGCCTCCCAAAGAGGCCCTAATCCCATTTACCCAACTGGCCCTCCATGTAAAAGCATCTTTGATGACCTGACACAGCAGAACCAGCTGACACCTGAAGGCTTTTAACATGGCCAGCAGATGAGAAAAAGGAGGGGAAAACCAATTTGGACAGATGATCAATCAGCAAGTGACAGAAGGTCGGATCCCTTCTTCCATTCTGGTCCCTTTCTTTGAAATGCCCCCATTCCAGCTGAGTGTTGCAGTGAGTGGTGATCTCAAGCCAGAAGAAAAGATTTTCAGATCTGATGGTGAGTACAGCCCCCTGATTACTCAAAGGGCTCCCTGCTTTCGTGTCTACCTCTTTCCTTGGGAAAACAGCTCTGCTCCCGAGCTTTCCCCAGCCTCAATCACAGTGTCCAGCCCTGTGTCCCAGGCTGGCAGCACATCAAATGTTTTAAAGTTGAGAGTCTCCCTGGACCCACTAGCCATTGGCTAATAGCTAATAATAGCAGTTATCAATTATTGAACACTTCATATCATGCCAGGCACTATGCTAAGCACTTTATGGACATTAAAACTCATATATCCTCACCACAACCCCATTTAAAGATGGGGAAACTGAGGCACAAAGTAAATTACCCAAGATCAATTAAACAGAACCTGGTTTGTCTGGCTTGAGAAACCATGACCTTTACCACTAGGCTAGACTGCTCACCCACACCAGAGCAACTAGGGAAGGCCCACCAACGGATGGGTCCACAGCAATCCCAGAGCACGAGTTTTACCATCACCCACTGGAAAGAGAACAACACATGGTCTGTACCCAGTGTGCAAGAAGGGTGCCCTACCCACTACCCTCTCCCAGCAAGCCCTGCCACCTGATCCAAGTAGGCAAGATGCCCTTGGGCTCAGCCTCACCAGAGGTAGGGAGTAGGATTAGTCCAGAGGCCCTAAACCTGTGATGTTTCAGTCCACTGGCATGGTTAAAAGATCCAGCTCTGAAATTAAAGCCCAACTCTGCCACTGGTTATTGTTTGACCCTGATCGAAACCTGAATTTCCTCAACCTGCAAAATGGTATCTGCCTCACAGAGCTGTTGTAAGGATTCAGGCAGGAAATGGAGACAAAGGGTACCTGGCACACGTTGCTCATCACACAGAAAACACCTGATATGGCAGCTATCATTATTATTAACAGCCGAAGAGTATCTAGTTAGCCTGATGGAAGCCCCATCTTGTCCCATCTGAACAATGGGCTGCAGGCTTCAGCTTCCCCAGACAGAGCCAAGATGCCTACCCCTGCCTTGAGTCACGCACTTGGTCCTGTTCAGAAACACTCTCTTGAACCACCAGCACTGACCCTGCTCAAAGGCACCACTGCCCAGAAATACCTGGGGGATCAGGTTCTCGATAAGACTTCCTTGTGATTGATCCTGAATAAAATCAAGTTGGGGTATTTGCTATGCCCTATGGACAATTTGAATCGCTGGTCACTCCCTGTCCCTAACCTGGGGGAAGCTTCCAGGCAGTTCCAGACTACTTCCCCTTTCCACTTAGTCCCAGCTCTGTAGGTTTGCGAAAGACACGATTTCTAGCTTGCTACTCATTTAATGGAACTGCCTCCTCAGCCGGTCCTCCTGCCACCTCTCTGAAGTGGACATCCTGAGCACAATCTGGGCACTCCAGAGCCAAATTTCATCACTACCAGAGCATCACTATTAATGAACACCACTTTGTATTTGTTAGTACATTATAACAGTTATATATAAATGTAGCTCTGTGAAGTAATTACCAACATTTCATAGTAAAAGAAATGGAGGTACACCAAGGTCAAGGAACTATCCAGGAAGGAAGAAACAGGAGCAGAGTAACTAAGAGGATGAGCTCTGGGAGCAGACAAATCTGGATCTGAATCACGGTGACGGCACCAACTGCGTGACCATCAGCATGTAACTTTAAAATGGGACAGATGTACCTCAACGACTGGTGGGCAGAGTAAATGAGATAATCCACATAAAATGTCTGCCCAATACCTTGCTCACAGAAAGTATTCAGTAAGTGTTAGCCTTTACTATAGTTGTTGTTGTTATCACAAAGTTGGTGACGGAATCAAGCCTCCCTTCGCCTAGAACAGTGCTCTTTTCAGGAGCCAGTCCAGCTCTCCTGGGGCAATTCAGGTATGCAGAACTCCCCAGATGCCCACAGCAGCTCTCCTGTTCTCGAAATAAGTGACTCTGCTCTCCTGCTTCAGCTAAGTGGCATAAATGAGTTGAATGGAGCCAGGGACAAGGAGGGGTGGGGAGAAAGGAAAGGCAGGAAGAAAAACAAAGGAAACAAAACAAAAAAACCCCACAAACCCAGGAAACCTACTTCTAGGTGGTTATAACTTTGCGGGTTTACCTGAAGGACTGAAGAAAGTAACTCTGCTCAGCTTATGCTGGACCAAGATCAGCCTCCAGCTTTTCTCCTTCAATCTCAGCTCCAATTGCTTCTGCCTCCCTCCCTCTCTCCCTCTCTGCACATCAGCCTCCAGCCTCCCTCCTCCCCTGTGCCAGCCCCGGCTGCTGTTCCTGGGGATGGGCTTGGCTGCCTGCCTGGCCCCAGGCCTGGAGCTGGCATTGCTAGGCCAAAGGCAATCCCAGAGGCTGCAGTCCCTGTGGATGCTCTGGCTCCAAAGAGGGATCAGGAAGCTGCTTCTGTCTCTTAGGCAGTTCCATGAAGTGACAATCAGGCAAGTCCCTGTCTTCCAGGACTTACTATCTACTGCTGAGACAGAATTGCCTCTTATGGAACAGAACAACCATGAAGGGCTAAACCACACAAAGAAAGAGTGCAAATGTAGACAGGAAAAGGAGAGAGGAGCGTGAACTAGTGCTATGGAAAGAAGGTGAAGGGATTGATGAAGAACAACTGATATATTTGTGCAACATGGGGCTACAAGCTTCATATGCATCACCACCTTCAAACCTCACAACAACCTAGGTTGTCAGAGCTTTGACAGATTAGGAAACTGAGTATTCTTAACTACTAAGCAGTGGGACTAGGAAATAAAACCAATCTGTCAGACTCCAAAGTCCACCCCATGGGAAGGTTTCATAGAGATGGTGGGTCTTGTTATGGTCATTAAACGACTGGAAGCACGAAATGGAAAGGAAGGAGGCAAAGTGCCAATCTGGTTGGTCCATGTTTGAGAGGTGATTTGAAAACATTTATTTATAGCAATATCTTTTAAATTACCTATATGTATTGAGGGGATTGATAGGAACTGTCACATTTAACCCACTACAACCCTAGGAGGAAGATAATATAATGTTCATTTTACAGAAGGGGAAACTGAATAGATAGAGTTTAATGGATTAGCTCTGAGGTCATATAGCCAGTCTATAAAGCAAAAAAGATTCAAACCCAAGCAGTCTGATTCTACACTCTCCGTTCTGCATCACCGGCCTCACTACTGTTCTCTGCTCTGACGTGTGCGAGCATATACCCTTCCTCTAAGGAGATGATGATGGCCCAAGAAGAAAAGGTACATTATCAACACCTAAGTATACTCCAGAGCTAGTGAGTTAATATGAATGGAGTAAACTCCCAGGTAGCCCTCAGTTCTGTTCTGGGATCTCCCTAAGTAATGTGTGCCCTTGAACAAGTCACTTAACCTCTCTGAGTTTCTGTGACCCCAACATTAAAATGAGGGGTATGGACTAGTCCTTCCAGGCCCAATATTCTGGGACAAGCTTCTCTTTTTGGCATCTAAAGAGGCTGAAGTTTTGAATTTGCAAGCCTTCTGAGGACAGGCACTTTGCCTCCTTAGTGAATGGCTCTCACACTTCTTGCCCAAGCCTGTCAGAGTCAAGAGAAAATAAGAAGTCCAAAAGGAGAGAGAGAGCAGGACTACTCCAACTTGAACAAGGGGTAAAAAGATGACACAGTTTTTGCAACCTTCCCTCTCAGTCATCTTAGTTTGATCTCTGCAGGGTCAGCAATAGGCCCTAACATATGGAAAACAGACCAGAGCAGGGCCAGCCCCGTGGCTTAGTGGTTAAGTGCGCGCGCTCCGCTACTGGCGGCCGGGGTTCGGATCCTGGGTGTGCACCGACGCATGGCTTCTCTGGCCATGCTGAGGCCGTGTCCCACATATAGCAACTAGAAGGATGTGCAACTATGACATACAACTATCTACTGGGGCTTTGGGGAAAAAAGGGAGGAGGATTGGCAACAGATGTTAGCTCAGAGCCAGTCTTCCTCAGCAAAAAGAGGAGGATTAGCATGGATGTTAGCTCAGGGCTGATCTTCCTCACAAACAAACAAACAAAAAAACAGACCAGAGCAAGGTGGCTCATTGCTGCAGCTGGTTGGGTCAGGAAGCCCACTTAGAGGAATGCTGCACTGGCTGCTGATGGAGAGCCTGTGGCCCAAAGAACAGCCTTGTGAAATGAGGAGCTAAAAAACAGAAGGTAAATGCTGGCACCAAAACCCAGTGTCAGCAAGGCACTTGAGATCTCCTCTGAGACTTCCTGGGGAGAAAGGACTGATCCAATGCACCCCTCCCATTCTGTTCCCACCCAGAGTCTATTCAGAAGCAAGAAGTCACTGACAAATGCCAGTGTTTCTACATATTAGCAATAAAAAAACCATCATTCCAACTTTCATCTAAACAGTTTGTAGAGCTAGTTGGGTGCATGTTTTTATTTCTTACCATATATGCCATATACCCAAAGGCCAGAGAACATGAGTACATGAATTCCTCAGAAAGCTTTTCTCTAGCTGCCAGGGGCTGAAGCGGCTGTACTGGCAGAAGCCATCCCCCTGGGGGATAAAGCAAGACCACAAGAGCCCCTGGATCCCACCTCGCAGCTGCAGAACGACTTGAGAAAAAGATGGGAAATGGGTGGTGTCCATTTGTAAACTACTTCCTAGAAAGTAAACTTGCAAAAATAATAAGGAGGAAAGATTGAAGGAGTACTTTAAATGCAGAGTTGTTTGCTGTCACTTGGAACTTACAAGATCACCTTTGGAGATTAGGTCTTACCCAGAGCTATTGGGAAGGAAAGCTGTTTCCTCTGCCAAAACAAATGAGACCGTCTGCTGCTATTTTCATGCTTTTAAAAGACTTTTTGTCCTAAAATGTACTGCAGCAGCAAGCTAAGACAGCAGTTCCAGTTAGGGTTGGGTAGGAACACATGACATTCTACATCAACCAATCTCAAAAGTCCAAAAGAAAAGAAAAGAGGGATGAAGGAAAGCAGAGAGGGAGAGAGGGAGAGAGGAAGGGAAGAGAAAAAATTTTTAAAAGAAAATAAACCAACTGGTTATACTTCCGTAAAACAATCTTAGGTCACATGACTAAGACCAGCCAGCTTTGCACAAAGTAATTTTTCTTTTCAAACTGTGCTTACTGTTCCTTACCTTGATTATTTCAAATATACTAATAAGAATATATATCCAGTTGAAGCCTGAGGACCGAAGCCAGTGTGGGCTGGCTACAACAAATACTACTTGCCAAATACAACCAAGCCAATAAACCCATGTACTATAAAGTTTCCAAACACCAAATAATGAAGCATTTTTGGTCTCTGGGCTCCACAGTTGAGCTACATGTTTAATCCCATATGACTCAAAATAACCAAAACAAGGGCCATATCATTTTACTGACCCACACCCAGAATATTTTTTGCTGTCACTATTGATCTGGACAGGTCTGACTACCCACTTACATGCAAAGCGGGCATCGTTAAGGGGCACTAGATTTCTAGGTTGGCTACTCTTTTCGTTTCTGCACCAGCTTTTTCAGTTCCTGTTCCTGTTTAAAACTAGATGGCTGTCTTGGAGTTGTGCTCTTTGGTACCATAATAAAAATGGCATGCCTGCTACACTCTTCATCTCTCGTTTTATGCTTGGAGCTTGTTTTCTTCCTTAGAAAACAGCCTCATTAGGCCCCACTGAAGGCAAACCACTGATTAGGCCCGAATGCCTGCTTCCAGTTAGCATATGGATGCCAGCCACCCGGGAGGTTTACCTGATTGTAAATGATTAGTCGTCAAACACCCAATTACCACATCAACTGTTCACTTTTCAGTCACCTTCTAAGGAATTCAGTAGTCAGCAACTGACTGAAAAATAGTTCACTGGAGATGAGATTTGGTTTTGCATCTAAGTAAAAGAAAGGGAAAAAAGGAAATTGTGAAATGAGTTGAAAGATGGATGAGGAAGGAACCCAATATATAAAGATAATAAATAACTGCATCCAAATGTCTTAAAGGGGCACCTGAATGACCACAAATGTATAGACGTGGTTTCTAGAACCACATTTCCTCTAAGTAGGCCTCAGATTCATCATGTGGTAACTAATCTATCTCTTAAATGTTTGCTAATTCTTAAAGAAAATATCCAAATCCCTTAAGGCCAGATTTATCAGTTTTTTTTCCTAGAGGCCCATGATGGAAGCTGACTGCTAATGCACAGTAGATGGGAAGAGGAAGAGGGAAACAAAAAGACCTGTACAATAAAAGAATATCTGTTTTCAACCACATTAGTAAACCGGTCAGAAAAGTGAGGCCACTAAGCCTTTCTTTCTTGCTGCCAAATTCAAAAGTATTACATAGTTATTCTGTAAAGTTTAGAAAATACAGAGAAGCATAAAGAAAAACAAGTCCCCTAGTATCCCATCATCTACAGTTAGTATTTTGGAGTGTATCCTTTTAGTCTTTCATATGAGCACATACGGCCAACACACACAAATACATGCATGTACATATTATGCACATGGAACTTGTAAACAAAACTGGGGTCATACAGAAATTCTATCTTGCAGCCTTTTCCATTGAACACTCTTTCATATAAATCTTCTCCTCTCATAAAATGCTTTTAAAAGAGCAGCAATTCAATGATAATACTGGTATCACCACTAACGCACCAGCTATTTCACTGTAACCCATCGACTATTTATAGCCTACTATTCCATCTGTCAAAAATTTGGTGCTGCACTGCAGAGGGGGTGCAAAAAGGTTGAGACTGTTAAAACATAGTTAATAGTCAGATAAGTCTTCCATTGAATGGGGGTACCATAATTTGTCAATTTAATCTCTTCTTGTTGGATATTGAGCTTGCTTCTAATAGTTCACTATTATAAACAATACTGGGATAAAAACAGAACATATAGCTAAAACTCAGCACATTAATAATTATTTCCTGAGAATAAATTCCTGTAACTGGAACCAAAAGATATACAAAAAGATTATAGATATAATCCAATATGAATTCCAAAAATGTAGTGTCAACTTACATAACAGCAGTTGTACTGGGAGTATGTATTTCTCCCAATATCATCTTGTAATATTTGCTGACTAATTCAATTTCTTTAAAAAAAAAAAAATCCTTACCAAACGCACACTATTATATTTAAGGCAAAATATAATATTTAAGGAAAAATATAATATCCAAAGGAGGATGGAAAACAGGTAAATAAAGAGACCACTTGCTTCACTATAAATTACATCAAAAAGGCTGACAAATCCAATGATTCTGGCTCCAAGGATTTCAAGACAGTGTTGTTAAATGATAGGGGGTGGGGGAGCAGAAAGATTAATCATAAGGACATCTTTCAGTTATATCTAAATTTCCCCAATTTATTCTTTCAAAAGAAAATCAACCTTCCCCCACCCCCCAAAAAAAAAAAAAAAAAAAAAAAGCTAATGCCCATCTTAAGGTTTAATGAATAACAGTCCCCTTATGACAGGTTCAGCATCAGGAGTAGAAGAGTCTGGCCCATGGACTAGCCAGAACCCGAGTCAATGATATTCCCAGGGAGCCAGAGCCTTGTTCAAAATGGAACTGTGGGACCCTTGGAAATGGTTAATAGGCTGGATTTAGTCTGCAGACTTATTTATATGGGCTTTCTAGCTTCAGACTGGATCCAAGGATATTACTGCATGTAGCAGAGACTTGTCTGCTACCCCAGCATCCAGGCTCTTCATCAGGTGATTACTCAATTTTCACTAGAAGATCCTTCTCCCTTACTCTTGGCCATATAGTTGGGTGGGGCTCATAATGAACTATGTGACTCAGGCCCACCAAAGCCTCACATGCCCCTAGCTTCAATGACTGGGCCAGAGATATGCAGGTGACCTAAGCCAGACAGAGTGAATCTTAGCACTGAATGCACAGGAGGTTGGAGCTGTTATAGTCATTTTACCAGAAAGAGCCACCAGGGAAAATAATAATGCCTATCAATGGGTCACTGTGAGAATTAAATGGTCCCTTCTTATCAGATGGGTCTCAACTCAAATGCACATAGGACCCAAGAATAAAATCACTGCCAAGAGACAAAGGGTTCTGAAGCATTATTTGCATCCAGAATCCAATTATACTGAAGTCAGATCAAAGCCTGAACTTCACAGTCATGTGAGCCAATAAATTCCCCTTTTGCATAAGCCCAATGTCAGGTTTTCTGTCACAACAGAAAGAGTCCCTACCAACACACAGCTATGTCACTCAGATCTCTTCTACTCAAAGAGCAAAGAAAGAGAAGATCTGATACCTAGGTGTTCTGATTCATGGCCTGGGACCAACTTACTAGGCCATAATTTCAACCCATTACATCAAGGGAACCTTTAGCTGAACACCAGGACCAATGATCCCAAACTCGAGCAAACTGTAAAATTCCATTAGAACTGGGTGGACCATTAGGACACTATTTGAAAGATGATAAGACTAACGAGCAAAAAGAATCGTTCCAGTTGCAATTTTTACAACCTTAGGCCTCCTTCAAGCAGACTGGCCACAGAGCAATTACAGCTGCTTTATTTTATTGAGCATACATTTTCTGTTATCTTCATGTTCCCAGGGAGGAACCTCCTCCCAGCACTCAAACACCACGTGAAAGGCTGTAAGGCAAGAGCTCCCGGAAGTCTCTCTGTGCAATAATAACATGCTCAATCTTCCAGCTGAAACAGGTATTTGATCTACACCACATCCTATGAAACTGAAAGACCAGATCTGACCAAAACTTGGCTACCCTCTTGGTTTCAATTACTATTACTGAAACAATTTCTCTTTGGTTTCAAGTACTGAAGAGCCTATTTAGAAAGTATTCAGGTTTTGAAGACGGTGACAGGAAATGCTCATGTCTGTGTGTCTTTACTGGAAATACACTCCCTGCAGGTTGAAACTTGAGGCCCCAACGTTTGGACTTTGTTGTTGTTGTTTTTAATAGTTACTTATTTCACAAATGTGTGCTCATATGGCATGAAGCCAAAGGGTATATTAACATGTGTAAAGATAAGTAGATAAATTAAAAATAGAGCTCTATACCCGACGGCTGGCATCACGGTATTACAGGTTTGGCAAAGTAAGACATCTGATGTTTTGAGCCCAGTTCCTGCCCACTTCCTGCCCAGATCCACACGCTAAAATTGCCGCCACCTAATGGCCATTGCAATGCTGTCTATTAAAACTCTGCCCTAGCAGGTAGGCCCTATTTAAAAAAAAAAAAAAAAAAAACAATATGAGAAAATCCTAAGATAAAGCAGCAGCACCATAAGCTCTTTTGGTCATCAATACCTTTGAAAATTTGAAGACAGCTTTGGACCCCAGAATAAACTGTGTATACATATACAGACTCATATTCACACTCAAATCTGCATCCAACAATTAGGGGGTCCATGAAATTACATGCAACTTGCTGAACTGCATCAGGGTTTTACCTGCACTGCAACCACATTCATTCCTGTCACTCAGGGACGGGAGCTCCCTACCAGCTCCTACAGCTGCTCCAATACAGTCTTGCACCTTATGGGAAGGACAAGACACGCTTTGCATGCAGAATGACTAGGTTTGTACAGCCCAGCTCTATCTGCTCCCCAGCACATACCTAATCACCCTGTGCCTCACTTGATAATTGGGAAAATCAGAGGGTCACTGTGAAGTATAAATGGTTCCTCATGTCAGATGGGTCCCAGTTCAAATGCTGAGATGTTCCCTGTCCAACCAATCTAAAGTGCCATCTCACTCTGATCCAGCACACTATTTTATTTCTTCACAGCACATACCACTCTCTGAAATTCTTATTTGTTGACTTATTTATTCTCTGCTCCCCTTACTAGTAGGTAAGTGCAGGGATTTTATCTGTCTTATTCACTACTTTGTCCTGCGCACCTAAGCTATGTCATAGAAGCAAGTGTTTGATAAATATCTGCTGAATGAATAATAATCACTGATGTTTATTGAGCACATCTGTACAAGGCACTAGTCTGTGCACTTTAAATGTATTAACTCATGATTGAATAAATGATGAGTCCAACCTACTCAGCACTGTCCCTAGCACATGGTCAGTACTCAGTAAATGGTAGCTATTTACACCAATTTTAATTATATGATGATGATACCAATTACTCAACGGTCAAGGAAGTTGAGCCCTAAGGATGTAGAGCTTAATTTCACCTCTCAAGAGCTGGTTCCTAAGGTCCAATTTCTCCTGGATCTCTCTCCTCTTAGCACTCCACTACCTTCAGAGAGAAGAGAAAGTAGGGAATTCTCTCATTATTCCAATTATTCCCTACCTCATCAGTTCTTAGATAATGTGATACAAACACAGCTTCTCAGCCAGCCAGTATACGGCTCCATTTCTCCTCACTCCACAAGCTAATTTTCACCTCAAACACCGCAAAAGCCAAAATTGGAAGCTGAAATAGGGAGCTGTTCACCTTGTCGTGCCTCTTTTTGACCTGCATCTCAGTCCCTTGGAAAAAATGCACATTAATAACAGAAATCACTCTCGCCTCTCCTTTCAGCAAGGGAGAGTCCAGAGGGTTTTTCAAGCCATATCCACGCGGCACTCTAGGAAGCTCCAAGGGTTCGCCAGTTGGGTATACTCCAGCAAAAAACCTTCTGGCACTGGTTTGACCTGAATCTTCTCTACCTTAACACCTTGACCTGCCTCTTCTCTACCTTAATAAACAAAGGCATCACATTTAAGGTGTTTGGAGATGCAAGAGCAAAAGCCAGTAGTTTTTCTGAATACAGCTTACAGAACACAAAGGACTCACAGCCAGTTTTACACTTCTTAAGATATCTTATTCCACATATTTACCAAAATTCGCTAGAAGACAGTGGCTTTTAACTTTGAGAGCTGAAGCACATACCTTGTCAAACAG